TGAAGCTCATTACAAATGACGCCCTAGAGCAGGGTCTTTTTGGTTATTGAATCAGAAGATGGTCTAGTCCTGATCAACAGAATATTTGCTTCATCCAAGTCCAGTACAGTTTTCTTTCCTGAACCAGTACATAGTTCATTCTGATTGAAATCAGTATCACAGCATTTTTTCTGAAAGTACCTGTAGAGTTGCTTCTTAAGAGTTGATTATGAATTTGAACCTGATTTTTTGTAGAGAACAGTTACAGTTTAGTAGAGCACTGAATAAATTTAGAATCAAAGTCCAGAAATCCAGGAACTATTTGTTGAGTCCAGATATTTTTTTTGTTGAGAGTCACTAAATTTTGAGACAGTCACTAAATTTTGAGACAACAAGAGAGCCAAATCCGTTAATTTCCTGACAGTCCAGATTATTTAACCAGTTGAATAAAATGTTAGGCCCTGATATAGTTGATGATATATGGTGGATATATGTAAAGGTTGTGAGAACCTCTGAAAATCCAGGAATCCAGGCCCAGAGAGCTACAGAGAGCACATTTCAGGTTCGAACCCAAGAGTGAGTTGGGTATACATATAATCTGAACAAATCCGAATTAATCAGAGAACTAAGAGTGTATGGTCTTAAAACCGGAGGTCTTGTGGAAATGTTACAAAACCGATTGACTTGGTTCCTGAGGGTGGAGGTACCTGAAGTATTACCCCTCAGTCCTGAGATTCTTGTGAGGAAACCGCCTCCATATCTAACAGATATTCCTGAACCACATAATCCTCCAGATAGTGCTGGAACACCTCCAGAAACACATCCAGAAATTCCTGAAACAACGCCAGGTAGTCCAGAAACACACCCAGATAGTCCTGTGAAACACCTCCTGATAGTCCTGAAACTCCTGTACTGGGTTACCCATGTGGATGGAAACCCTACCACTGTAACGTGCAATTTGATGGGACATCAGACCCTGTAGATTTCCTGGAAGGCCTGGAGGAGATTGGTAATGGAAAGAAAATCAAACCAGACCATCTCCTGGAAATGCTACCTGGAGTATTACAAAAAAAAAGCTCTATTATGGTACCGCTGTGATAAAGTTAACTGGAATTCCTGGCCAGCTTTCAAAGAATGTTTCCAGGTAGCATACCTTCCATTTCGATATCATGAACAGCTCCAGATTGATATCATCCAGAGGAAACAGAAAGTTGAAGAACCAGACGCTGATCCGAAGACAAGGCACTCTTGATAAAGCACAAGAATTGACTTTGCTATACCGGAATTTACTGCCAGACTACCGCCTGTACATCAGAAAGACTGATTTCCAGGATGTACCATCACTCATCACTAGTATTCTGGAATATGAGAATCTGAGGAAAGATATATACCAAACCTACCAGGGTTATCACTACCTGCCACCACTCTCACCTGTGTCATTTTGTCCAGAACCGATTAGGTATAAAGAACCTAGTTCCAGGATATATACCCAGAAGATAAATCAAAATATAGAACTTCAAAACAGTGAGACTGTTAGTTGGAGATGTGGACTGCAAGGACACATGAGTAGTGCCTGCAGACACCAACCAAAAATATTTTGTTCCAGATGTGGCCAGAGAAATGTTTTATCCCGTGATTGTTTATGTCTCCCTCCAGACAATTCCGAGAATCCAGTACTCATTGAGTTCCCCGATAGTCCAGACAGTCCTGAAAATTCAATCAATTCAGAACATTCAGGGAGTGTAGAAGAGCTAGATTGTCCAGAACAAGCATTTTATCCGTATATTCCAGCAATTCCAGATTTACATTATTTTTCAGAGAACCCGTATGTGACAGAAGATCATGATGAACCACAAGTTGTGTGTAGAGCATTCATTCCAGATGATCCAGATTTTCTATTATTTCCAGAAAATCCAGATTATCCGGTTTCATCGGGGTGTCCTGTGGATTTATCCAGAAGATCCAGATTTTTCCAGAAATCCGAATTTCCTCCGTTCACCAGACTATCCTGTTGGTACAGGATGTACTGACAGTCCAGATTTTCCAGAAATTCTAGATCAGATGGAATTAATGAGCTCCAGACTGTCAATGAAGTGACAGAAATCATTACAGAGACCGGTACTACTAATAATATAAGAAATAGAAAGTGTCCCAGGAACAGAAATAGGAAATTAGGTCCTGACAATTTCCGAAATCAGAAATCCAGACGTTGTAAGTATAGATGTGAATAATTTTTTTTGACCGTTTCAGATCCTGTTGTAAATAATCTGAATGGTGAGAAAAGATTCCAGATAGTGTATATATATATGGATTACATTTAGGTCCTGCTGTAGATATCCTGTGTAGATATAAGCTGATTTCCAGATAAGAAATAACTTTATGGATTGTGAATAAGTATTCCAGTTCATAGTTGATAATGTATCGGGTGGTCACAAAAAAACCGGAAGTTTTTATTTTCCTCGTGGTTTCATCATTTCTCAACCAAATTCGAATTTCTTGGCGTCGTTTCATAGCTAAAGGGCTATAGTATACAGTGGAATATTTGAAACTTTCATAATGAACAAAAACAAATTGGCGGATTCTACCAAAGTATTGTCATTTACAAAACCCGCTGGAGAAAAAAAAATCAGATTTTTTCCAACCTGCACCGATATCATCTTAGGCTATTCATTCCTGAAGAAAATGAGTACTGGAACATCGAAATCGAACAAATAGTCCAGTAGATACACTTATTTCTTTGCAATTTGTTATGGAGTGAATGTGCTAGTGTCGTATAAACGATTATTATAATTTTGCTTCAGGCTGATATAGTGATGAACTAATGAAAATTCAGGCAATTCTTAATATATTGGAATCAATTATTCCGATCGAAGCACCAAATTGCGAACAAGAATCCATCTCATAGAAGATCCCAAAAATGTCATACTTTGAAAGGAACCCTGCAGCATTAAACGAGTGCGTACTATATCAACTAACTGATGGAGCAATAACCACAAACATTCAACAAGAACTGCACACCTTCGTCGACGTCTGAGAAACGAAGTCACTTATTAATAATTCAAAAAAAAAATTTCCTCATGGCGATTTCCACTGTGATGTGATGAATGTATTCAGCCAGCAAATCAGACGAATACCGCACACAGAAAATCAGAGAAAAATGACACCAAATAGATCTCGGGATATTTTCAAACCAATCGAGTATCGTGCGGTAGGGCTCATAAAATAAACATAGATTGGTATTCAGTAAGTAGTACCTATTTCCTTCATAGAATTCTGAATACCAAATATCTCACAGAAAACAATGCAACCACAATTGTTCCGCGATTTTGATTCTTTGATAGTATGCGTAATATTTTGTGCCAATTAATTATGGTTGTGTATATTGTGAATTTCATTATAATGGAATCTTGTTTCAATTCAATTCCTTGAACCACTGACATAACTTCGAGACGACGTACCACATCATCAGTTGAACTGTAATTTATTGGTTGGAATAGTGGTATTTATGATTAAGTAGATATCTGTGAATTGTCATCATCTGACAAGTATTGTTCTTCGACTGAATTCTCGTATGTACCGGAACACAGAATCATTTGTAATGATTTCAACATAGCCTGCTGGCAATGAGAATTAAAACTGTTGCCTCAAATGAACGAAAATTTTATATGTGACATATCACTAGCAAGAAAATCTGAATTTGATTTCAAACAACATGTGAAAATGGCGTCTTCGATGAATATTGAAGTTGGAGGTAGTATAGAAATTCAATATGGATATTACTGAAAAGTACTATATGAGTATAAACAGGGTGTTTCATAATTGGATGCTGATCCTAAAGGGTGATAATCCTTGGATGGTTTTGAGAAAAATTTTTTATGTGAACAAAGGTCCGTAACAGCTTCGTTTCTGAGATACAGGATGTTGAAATTTAACAAAAAAATCAGTTATTCCCCAATATCTCTGAAACCGCTCTGGCTTTTTCGTTCAATTTTGGTACATGCCAAGTATAAATAGAAATACATTTTTTCCATAATAAAGGATTTCTTAATTTCCATCAGTGGCGTCCCTGTTAACATACCCTGTCATATTTTTCATCAAAATAATGATACGCCACTGTCTTTTTTCCAAATAAATATTATTTTTGTGATTATCCTCTATCTTCCCATAAAAATGGTCTCTCGTCTTTTTTTCGTCCGGCGAACGGTTTTTGAGTTGGAAAATAAAATGCATTCATTTGCTTGTCCCTAGCTATTCGATTTTTACTCTAAGTCATAATTTCACAAAAGATCTAAGCAATATTTTTATAATTTCATGGTACCAATTCTTGAGTTTTCGTAATGAAGAAAAAAGCCAGAGCAGTTTCAGAGATATTGGGAAATAACTGATTTTTTTTGTTAAATTTCAACATCCTGTATCTCAGAAACGAAGCTGTTACGGACCTATGTTCACATGAAGAATTTTTCTTAAAATCATCCAAGGATTATCGCCCTTCATGATCAGCATTCAATTATATAACACCCTGTATGTTGAAGCCGTTCTTTCGAACAATCAAACAAATCAAACTGATTGATGAAAATTTCATTCTTTCTTGAATAACTCAAAAAAACTTAGCTCTGCCCCTCTGCCTTATTAGACTTATCAACTAATTTTGAAACACAATTGTATTTCATGGAATAATATAGAAAAACAGGAACCATTCAGCAACAATGAGTGAGATTCCAAAACAAAAATCTCCCCAAGGCGTTATACATTCGACCAATACAATGGGATATAATCCATCAGGCATCCAATGCATTAGCCCAGTTTGATCCCAATTGATGGTCAATTGTAGTTTATAACGTCACTCAACAAGACTAATAATCGGATGACCTCATTCAGATATGTGCAGATATAATAATATATGTTTCATTCAAAAACTGCATGTTTAGTTTGCAGTACGTGACCCCTCACCACCACGAAAAGTTTTAATTTGAGAAGAAAAAAACTCACATGCAAAATAACAAAGGATTATTCATACTCACGTTTTAGTCCGTTATCCATTTTTCAACCTCTTCATGGACTGATGATATTAGAATGTCAGAATGTCCAAGCCGATACAAATTGAAATAAACTTCGCAATTAGTAATTGAAATTCAAATCATGACGTTAACCTAAAAATACTACAACTTCACTCATTCTTGTTGATAACGCTTTCCATATCTAGATAACATAATGAGTCATTTGTGAGTATGATTTCAAATCTCCAGGTTTGGTTCGATTTTCTATATTCAACTAAATTGGGTAGTTGATTTCTCGAAGTTTCTGTTATTTTATCTTCTCGTTTCTATACCTGATAGGTATAGGTATTATTTCGATGCATTCGTAGTGAAGACAAATCAAATGATTAGTAACAAAATAATACTATTAGGAACATAAAAAAGTAATTCAATCGATAGAAAGTGACACTTCCTTAGAAAAATATTAGAAGAAGTGTAATCAAAGGTACCGATATTCAGAAAATATCTATTTTTCACAAAACTGCTCTGGTTTCATTGAATTCAATAAATCGATGAGGTACTTTGTATGTCATCAATTTCATTTCCGTATCTGATATCACAATGACTTCATTGTGTTATCATTTCACAAAATCTCATCTCCCATAAAATGTCAAATTCCAGGCAATAACAGCTCTGTCTAATAGATGAGAATCACTTGAGAGATGTCTACATGCCGAAGAAATGAAAAAATTCGCTGTTATCTGTTACAGTCGTAGACAAAGTATATCGTATAACTCGCCCGGAATGCTAATTTACGACTCGTATGATTTGCAGCCCAGGTAACACAAACCTCTCCGCGAGATCTCAGAGAGATCAACATCAAGATCATATGCGAACTCCTATCGTGAGGTAGTAAAGATCGCTATGTGCTGTAACTGAGCGAATTTCTTCTTGAAGTCCCATGAAGAAATCTTTCAAACCTCACCTTTCAGTTATCGACTCCATTTCCACAACGAATTCCCAAAGTTATTACGAAATTAACCTGAATCAGAAATTCTTACTGCGAGTTCGTTAAGCTAGCTGGAACGTAACCTGGACAATAAATTCTTGTTGCGAGTTTCTGAAGCTATCACGTATGTAACGTAAACGACTTTTTCTCACTACGAGTTCGTACAGTTGACCCGAACGTAATTTGAATCAGAAATTCTTATTGTGAGTTCTTCAAGTCATCCCGAGGGTATCACACACAAGAAATTCTTGGTGCGAGTTCCTAAAGATATCCCCCAGCGAGCACAAGAACATCTCAGAGATGTTAAAAGTACGAGATTTCGAGACATTGAACCTCCACTGCGATGTTCTGTTCACACATGAATAGAACTATTATAGAACAGCCAATGTCCGCCGCAGGCGGCAATTATCGAGATTTCCTTGATATGTCACAAAACTACCTTCTCCCTAGTTCTTTTTGAAGCCTTTTCATGGACACAACAAAACATTTTCAAAGCGTCTTGCGCACATTAAATCGCTGTAAAAAAACCATTTTCGAGGTACTTTTCTGAAGCCTTTTGTCAAAATGAACTTTTGCATTAGGATTTCATTTTCCTCGAATGAAAAAATGCATTAAAAATAGATTGAACATAAAAATATTTTCTTGATATGAAATTACCTTCTAAATCGGTTTCTGAGTAGTGCTTACTACACACAGACATACCGGGTGGCCCATTCAAGACGATCCACCCTGAATAACTCTTGAACACATGATAGAATGAAAAAATGCTCAGACACGTCAACTTTTATTTCTTGGGGAACATGATTTGAGATGGGTTTGTCATCTGTCATGACTTCCCCCTCCCCTAGAGAACCACCCTTTTGAGAATTTCAAATGGGAACATAGGTCGAGTGATACCTCATTCGAAAGGTATTTTCACTCAGATAATATCTGTGTTTTGTTTTTGGAAATTGATTGATTCGTTTTTGAAATAATAGGTGTAGCCCATTCAAGACGATCCACCCTGAATACCATTTGAACACATGACAGAATGAAAAAATGCTCAGACACGTCAACGTTTATTTCTTGGGGAACATAATTTGAGATGGGTTTGTCATCTGTCATGACTCCTCCCTCCCCTATAGAACCACCATTTCAAGAATTTCAAATGAGAACATGGGTCGAGTGATACCTCATTCCATCAATATTCATTCACGTTAAACCATTGCTTATTAATAATAATAATAATAATAATAATACATTTATTATTTACCATAGATACATGTTACATGAAGTACAAGTAGAATCAGTTGTATAATGGTAGATAATAGGAGAACTGTTAGGCCGAGTGGCCGATTCTTCCACAGTTTCCTCAAAAATAAATATATAAAGAAAAATAATAATGAGAACGTTCATAACAAGAAAAATATAACAGAAAAAAAAAGCATTGATTATGATTCATAAATATTCACCTGTACCTATACTAAGAAATGTGATATCATTGTTGAGAGAACAGAAATCGTTTGTACCAAATTTTAAATGCTTCACATGATGAGAATGAAAAATCCATTATATCGCCAAACAGTGTTACGTTATAAGAAAAAGACCGCCTGAATAGTTGTTTCTTATGCCTGGGAATCATGAGCATATTTTTACGCCTCAGATTCAGATTATGTACGTCCGTTCTGAATGTAATTCTTTGGTATAAATATTCCGGTGCTTTACATTTCAAAATTTTATAGAAGAAGCATGCCATATGAAGTTTACGACGATTGAACATGCTAAGCCAACCAGTGTCCATCAATTTGTGAGAAATACGCTGTGGTCGTCTAATCCCGAATATCATTCTCAAACACGAGTTTTGTGTTTTCTGGATTCTTCTAGTGTCAATATTATCGATGCATGGGCCATAAACAACATCACAGTGATTGAAGTGAGAAAGAACCAAACTATCACAAAGTTGTATTTTCAGTTTAGAATTGAGAAAATGTCTATGCTGATAAATGAGCTTTAAGGAAGAATATGCATTTTTGAGTTTTTGGGTGATATGATATTTGAATCGTAGTTTGAAATCCATGAAGAGCCCAAGGTTTCTGCAATTATCTTCAAATTTGATCGGGTCATTGCCAATTTCTATGTGCAAGGTATTGAGCGCCTCATTTCTATGATTGTCTGACCCAAATAAGAGTGCGATAGATTTTTTTGAATTGATTTTCAGTAAATGATTGTTAGTAACATCGAGAAGTTCATTCAAATCAGAATTAATAAAACCATTGGCTTCAGCTATATCACAAAATTTAAATGAGTAGTACAGCTGGGTGTCGTCCGCATAAAAATGATATTTGCAGTGTGTCAAGCTTGAGCAAAAGTTACTGGTGTAAATGGTATACATCAAGGGGCCTAAGATACTTCCCTGAGGAATTCCTTGTTGCAAATTCAGCGGTTCAGATATAATATTATCCAATTTAACCTGTTGAACTCTATCAGCCAAATAGGATATCATAAAAGAACACGCTGATTCGCTAAACCCTATGAAGTGTAGAATGGCAGTCATGATTTGGTGATTTATGGTATCAAAAGCTTTTGAGTAGTCAAGTAAGATGAGAGCACACATTTCGTTTCTGTCGAGTGATTGGAATATATCATCTGATATTGCAGAGAGTGCCGTCGCACAACTAAAACCTGATCTGAAGCCAGACTGATATAGGGGAAGTATATTGTGCGTTTCAAGGTGACATCTTATTTGTACATCAAGAATTTCTCAAATACTTCATCATTCCACATTTTTTGTTCTTCAGGAGTTGCCATCGAGATCTTCTTCTCTTCTCTTTGAAGTTGATTATGTCGAATTGTTTCTTGTGCTCGAAATATTCGGTTTTCTCTTCTAGACTTTCCAATTGGTATTCATCTGATTATATCCCTATCTTCCACAAACTCCTCAGGGTTATAAGTAGGATGATTATCATCATCCCAGTTCTCATCCCCATTTGTATTTGTCTCAGAATTGCTCATGGTGCGGGGACTGCAATACTTCGAAAGGATCTTTTTCGTAAAATCGAGTAACTTTATTGGGCCTCGTTTGAAAGCAAAAACGATTACACACAGCCACTTCCAATATTGGTCTACTCAACCAACTATTGCTTGATAAATATCTTTGCGATATAATTTGTCGACACACACAACACCGTCTTGTTTCCACCACACGACTTTGTATCAACAAGTCACTGTCTACCATGATGATAAAATGAAACACATCAGAATACTTATATAATGGAACAAAATGGTAGGGGATACATAGATATGCAATTAAAGAGCATTGAGGACGGACGTTTTTTTTCTCAAACCGGTAAAACCAGTTAGCACACCTGCTAGGCTGGGACATCTGCTCAATAATTCTTTTCAGTCACCATCATAAAAAATGTCTAGACCGAGTAAACCGGTTTGGATTCTCATTTTTTAAAACCGGTTCTCGGCACACCTGCTGCCATCATTAAAAATATGTCTAGACAGAGTAAACCAGTTTGGATTCTCATTTTTCAAAACCGGTTCTCGGCGCACCTGCTGCCATCATGAAAAATATGTCTAGACAGAGTAAACCAGTTCGGATTCTCATTTTTCGAAACCGGTTCTCAGCACACCTGCTGTCATCATAAAAAATATGTCTAGACCAGTTTGGATCCTCATTCTTCAAACTCGGTTTCCGGCACACCTGCTGCCACCTGCTAAACCGGTTTGGATCCTTGGATCCTGTTCTATCTTTGCTAATGTTACCCTACTTCGGGCATATGACTGTCAATTGGCGTTAAATTTCCAGCAAATGAATGCTCAAAGATGTTGGCTTTCTCCTGGGCAGTTGTGGCTAGTGTTCCATCTCCCTTGGTTAGACCAAAATAAACTAGATCCGTTAGGACATTCAACAATTTTGATCTTATTTTGGCATCATGAGCATAATTTGATGATCGGATTGTCTCATTGCATATGCCTCTAGCCTCGAGATATTCTGCTCTAGTCCCTGTACCTGGATTTTTCTGCCATCGATGAAATGCTGTCTGTTTGGAAGCCACAGCTCTAGAGCAGTTTCTACTGGACCAGGCATTTGCATCCCCGACATGATGATTTCAGAAATTGTCTCAGCACATCGTGTTGGATCTGCTGAGGAGAAACAAACTCTCTTAATGGAAATGCTGAAAAAAACATAAGAAGACCTTCCCAGTCGGCCGAATTATAATGCCAGTACAGTTGACCTTCAATAGCTAAAGCCCAGATATTTTATAAACTCGTAGACTGTTAGCGAGCGAC